GGCCAATATGAGCTACATGAGATAACCAAAAACAAAGAGAGAGAGAGAGAGAGAGAGAGAGAGAGAGAGAGAGAGAGAAGAAAATCTCTTCAGTCTTTACTCCAGATAAGATCTTCTCCCCTTGCCCATACTGAGACCCATAGACTACAAATGTCTTTGGAGGAGATATTAGGGAGAGATATGATATTAGGCTTTATGGGGCACACATGACTTTACCTTTCTCTTCCACTTGCCAACTCCTCTCTGAATCTTCAAAAGGGTGGAAGTATGAACATGGAAAGAAAATAAGGGAATTGGTCATTTCTCCCTTAGTGAAATGGCTTCCCACTGCTGGGGTCTCTGTGGGCTTTTCAAAGACCTCTGTCACTGAGAATCCCTCTTGTGTAATCGGGGAGTTCTGAATTGACACATTTCTATTTAGTATTCAAGCCCTTCTATGCTGAAGTATTCAGAGGTTATCTCCAGCTTCCTGTTGCTGGCATTCCCACCACTCCTCCCCCAGATAGTTCTATTTTATAGGGTCCAGGAAGAATTAATCCCCACTTGATTCCCAGGAAACACTTACACATGGTCTGTCCAGAAAAACTAACCAAATACAGCCCACTTCCAATGCCATCAACCCTCTCCTTCTGCCGAGGGCTACACTGGCTTTTGTAGCTCTAATCTTCTGCTTTTGTTACAAGGAATGAATGTCAAGTTCTAGTGAGTTATTTCCCCACTCTTGCCTAGCACATATGTACTTACTTGCTACCTTGAGAAAAGTGAATTTATTTACTTTTTGGCAAACTGTGGGGAGAATGAAATCTAATTTCCACCACACTGTGCCACTGGGTATTACAGCAATTTATAGAAAAACAGGAGGCAAGGCTGAGCTGTAGATCAGTTGGTAAAATGCTCCTCTTCCATCAATGCTTCAGCTTGAGAGTGCTGTTACATGGCTGCACTTGAGATGCAGGAGGTGTTATCACCCTGGACCTCTCCCCTCTATGGAAGATGAAGTGAAAGCATCCTCAGTACCACATAAGCCAGACATAGTGGCACAAGCATGTAATCACAACACTCAGGAGGTAGGAGTAGGAGGGTCAGAAGTTCAAGGTCATCTTCTGTGGCACACCAATGTTAAGGCCAGCCCTCTCTCAAAAAGAAAAAAAAAAGTCTTCCAAAGAAAAGAAAAAAGGACACAAAATGGTGACTGGGGGGTATATCTGGGGGGAGTTGGAGGAAGGAGTGGGAGCATGAATGTGATCAAGATACATTGTATAAACTTCTCAAAGTAAATTAATAAGTATTATTTTAAAAAACCAATGAAAAGAAAACCAGGAGGTAAAGTCCACAACACACATAAAATTTGTTGTGATACAGTTTTACAGTCCAGGCTTGTCCAACCTTTGGGTGCTGCACCATGGATCAACATCTACAATGCTCACATTCAAGAATTGGGCAACCATCTCCTGTATCCAGACAAGACTTCCAGTGGAGGGATTGGACACCAACCCAGCCACAAAACCTTTGACCTACAATTAGTCCTGCCTGCAAGATGTGATGGGGTAAAGGTGGTGCAGAACTTGTGGAAGAATGTTCCTGCTGTGGGATGGTCTGTATGTCAAATGTGTTGCTGATTGGTCAATAAATAAAACACTGATTGGCCGGTAGCCAGACAGGAAGTATAGGCGGGACTAACAGAGAGGAGAATTGACAGAACAGGAAGGTGGGAGGAGACACTGCCAGCCGCTGCCATGGCAAGCAGCATGTGAAGATGCCAGTAAGCCACGAGCCATGTCGCAAGGCATAGATTTATAGACATGGATTAATTTAAGATATAGGAACAGTTAGCAAGAAGCCTGAGCCATTAGGCCAAACAGTTTAAACAATATAAGTCTCTGTGTTTACTTGGTTGGGTCTGAGTGGCTGAGATTTGTCCTGACTGTGGGCCAGGCAGGAAAACTCTAGCTACATGGTCCAAATGAGACCAATGCCGCAAGAGGAAGTCTATGCCAGACACTGCCTGGAAGGCCAGGAACCAGAGACTGGATAGCCCAGAAACATAGGATAGAACAAAACATGACTGGGGAGGTCAATAAAATGACTCCTAATGATACTCTGCTATACTTGTAGACTGGAGCCTAGCATAGTGGTCATTCGAGAGGCTTCATCCACCAACTGACAGGAGCAGATATAGAGACCCACAGCCAAACATTAGGCAGAGGTCCAGAATTCTGTAGAGAAAAGCTAGGAAGGATTGTAGGAGCTATAGGGGTCAAGTCACCACAAGAAAACAGCCCACAGAATCAACTAAGCAGGGCTCATAGAGGCTCACAGAGGCTCACAGAGACTGAATCGACAATTAGGGAGAGCTAGGCCCTCTGCATATACCTTATGGTTGTGTAGCTTGGTGTTCTTGTGGGACTCCTAACAGTAGGGGCTGGGGCTGTCTCTGACTCTTTTGCTTGCTTTTGGGACCCTTTTCCTCCTACTGGGCTGCCTCGTCCAGCCTTAATATGAGGGAATGTGCCTAGTTTTATTATTACTTGACATGCTGTGTTTGGTTGATATCCCTGGGGAGGTCTGCCCTTTTCTAAAGGCAAATGGAGGAGGGGTGGATCTTGGGGAGAGACTGGGAGGAGAGGAGGGAGGGGAAACTACGATTAGGATGTAATATATGACAGAATAATAATTAAAAAAAAAAGAATTTGGCAACCAAATTACAAAAAAAAAGAGTAAAAACAAAATCGCACACAAAAATCTCATAATGTCTTAAGTAGGTATATAATTTTATATTGGGCTGTATTCATAGATAACCCTAACTGCCATCTTCCCACATGCTATGTGCTAGAAACACCTCAATAAATCTTTTCCTGGGAAGAAAGTCAACTCAGGCCCGAGGTTCTTCCACGGCCTCTGTTCTGTGTTACAGAGACAGGTTTTTCTCAAGACCTAACCAAATGAGAAAAACCGGGTTGGCATTCCATCTTCAAGATCTCCACTTTGTTTTTGGTTATTATTGGTGGTGTTTTGTTGTTTTGAGAAAAGATCTAACACTACAGTCCTGGTTGGCCTCAAACTCACTAATTATCTCAGGCTGGCCTAGAACTCAAGGCAATCCTCCTGCATCAGTCTTGCAGGCGCTAGTATACTACCGAGGTATGAGCTACCTTACCCTGTTTAAACGCTCCCATCTGAAAGTGAGAACCATCTCAAGGGTTCTAGGATGGTGGATGTAAAATGCCCACCCATTCCAGGTGTAGCAGAGTTCTTTGTTCCTAGATCCATTCATTTCATAAAGATAAAGATCTTTTCTTTCCAGGTCAGCTTCCAGCTTGGACTCTTGCACACCTGCTAAGCACACTAATTTTCAAACTTGGCTCTTGCACACCTGTTAAGCACACTGATTTTCAAGCTTGGACTCTTGTATGCCTGCTAAGCATACTCATTTTCAAGCTTGGACTCTTGAACACCTACTAACCATTCATTTTCAAGCTTGGACTCTTGAACACCTACTAAGCACGCTAATTTTCAAGCTTTGACTCTTGCACACCTGGTAAGCACACTCATTTTCAAGCTTGGATTCTTCCACACTTGTTAGCCAAAGAGAATGACATAAGTATCTCTCTTGAGAATACCTCCTCTTCCACTGGTGCTTGAGAGCACTTGAGGTGTGGTAGATACTTTCACTCTTATGGGTGTTGGAATAAAAGATGGCAATAACTCTCTGCAGAAAAATTCTTCCACAGATTCCTTTGCTGTCCCTTCTCTAATAAGGCTTCTTATTTATTAGAGAACTTTCAGTGTAAATCCTGTGTATGATGATCTGGCCTCGGCATTTCTTATCTACTGTAGAACATCTATTATCTTCCTGCAAACTTGAATTTTAATCATATTATGTAACTATTATCTTTCCAAATATTTATGTAAAATCACTTCTCTAGAAAAATGTACTAGCTTTATCCTGTAGTTTCATTACTCATAAGCATAATGTTCCAGTTAGAAAAATCCCAGCACCTTCTACCTGTTTGAGGATGGAGACCGTAAGTCATACTGGTAAGTTAGGCATTTAGGATTTCAAGGAGATCTCAAATAATTATAACCACTGGAATGATGGGGAATAAAGACATAAACTCTGAAATTGTGAAGGAAAGTGTGGGAATAAAAGAAAAGCCAGGGAATCATTTATTTAATTTTTTGCAGTGCCGGTAATTGAACCCAGGCTCCCATGTACACTATGAAATTACTCTACTGCTGAGCCACATGCCCAGCCCAGTAATTTCTTCAAATTGGCAAGACATTGCTATTAATAAAGTTCTTATTGTTACCATAATAGGAATTCTTGATGACCAGGTGTTATTGAATAAACAATGCACTGGTGTTGATACAAGCCAGACTTTCAGTATATTCTCAAAGAAATCCATGACTGACAGAGGTCAAGAGGCCACTGCTACAGAGAAAAGAGGAGAGATTTGGGGACAACCTTGGCTTATTTTTAAATGCTGGCTCCATTCTCCCACAGTTACACTATAGACGTTCTCTGTGAATCTCGGGTTCTCAGTTATGAAAAGGAAGATCATATTGCACAAACCACAATGTTCCTATGGAAAAGAAATTTTCTTTGGTTTGGTTTTGTTTCTGGAGACACAGTCTCATGTAGCCCAGGATAGCCTGGAACTCACTCAAAGCTGGCTTTGAACTCCTGATCGTCATGTCTCCACCTCTCTAGTGCTGCCATCACACCCGACTCAGGAAATGAAATTTTTTATGTTCAATGCTTGTGTATACTTAGCCTGCAAGAAGTGTTAGTCTCCTTCTTAGTATATACAAGATAGAGCATTTAAACCACAGATAGATGATTTCATTTCTAATGGAGCACATATCTTTTTTCAAAGATTTTTCTGCCCTTAACTGGTAACAGGCTGTTGTTTAATTTCCACATTATATTCAAACTAAATTTTATTAACATGATGCCTAAAAGAAGTTTTTCAAGCCTACAGATATACACATGCATTCATTCTGTTTGTAAAGATGGAATTATTTAAATACCACCACAGCCTGGCATGTTTCCATTCTAAGCCCATATTGCTATGAGAGCTAGCAGGAGAAAATCTCTTGAATTGAACAAGAGATCTGATCCTCTTAAATGACACATGAAGCAGCTTTTACAAAGAGAGGAAGCTGTAGCTAATCCCACAGATTCAGTGAGGGAGGCTTGAAGGGGTTAAAGTGAAAGGCTTGTACAAACTTTGCTCTCGCATCTCCTCCCTCCCTCTGGGGCTCCACACCGCTCAGGCAAAGCTGAGCTGAGTGGAATCGTCACCTTTCCTGCATTCGCTAAACTGTTGCCTGCAAAGGAGGAACCAGGGACTTAACATAGTCGGGCTGCTTCTATTCAAATGTTCCAAGAGGGCATATACCCATCCAGAGACTTCTCAATGCTCTTTGCAGCTTAGAAGAAACGGACATCAGAAACTGCACTCTGACGCCGTAAGTGCTAACTGGGATTTTAAGTAACTAACTGAAGGTGCTTTCCTGCTTTTCTGAAAAGGCTGACTCTACAGGAAGGTGAAAGAGAAAGCTTAGGTTGCATGGGCATAGTCCTGTTTCTTTGGGTACAGGGACGCTTCAAGGTTTCCTTCTATTTTCCAGATATTCCAGAGATGCTCCTGAACAAGTCGTCTGCTGGTGCGAGCTTCCAAGGGGGTATTTAAATAGCCAAACCCATTGATTCTGTGACTCAGGAAAGGTAAGAAATATGTGGAAGTGTAATGATGCTATTCATGCCGAAGTGAACATGAATTTTATTTACCAGCAGGTGTAACAGGCACCATCTGCGGCAGAAGACACAGCAAGTTCCACTTGTGCAAGCTTAATACTTTATGTTTCCAACCATTGAAGGGGCACTCACTGCTGACATTGGTTTTTCACAGGCTGATAAGAAACTCGATACTCAGTACCTACCTCCCTTAGTTTCCTGCCCCTCATTAAGCAGATACGTGCAAACAGAATACGTTAACTCTTAAGAGGCATGCCAATTGACAGCTGGGACTTGCTTTTAGGAATGATTCCGTTGATTGTTTTTCTTCCCTGTTTGTGTGTTGGGATTTCAGCTCTGAAGTTATATATATATATAGCAGATAGCATGCAAGGAACTATAAAATGACCCAGGATTGTTTTCAGAACTTCATCAATAAAAAGAAAAAGTAACTACTTGGGCACCCCAATGACAAAAACAGGGATAAGTTTACACTGATTTCTGTATTCCTAGCCTTCACCTTAGTGCCTGGAATTTGATTGGCACTCAATAAAGTTTAGCTGAATATATGTTAGTCTGATTTTGTAGACCTGTATAGAACTTCCTTGCTTTCGTTAGAAATAAGTCTCACACTTGTGATCCTTCTTGGGGTGGGTAGAGAAAGAAACTGCCACATTCTTTCCTTATTTTAAGGAGAAAAATTCATGATCTAAGAGTGTATGTCAGTTTACTCCTATGAGGCTTTATACACTAAACTTAGCAATCCAAATCAATAGTAAAATACAAGAAGATTTTTATTACCAAGATTCTGATTACCAAGTTAATGACTGACTATGCAAATACAAAGCCAAAGTTTCATAGCTGTCACTCCTGGGTATTTTTATTTACATTAGAAGTGAAGCAAAGCAGATAGTTGTTAGGTTAATGCTGACGCTGCCAATTAACTGTATTAATGTCTTTCTCTTTTCCCTTTCCTCCAAACTTCCGCTCTCCTTCCTTTCCTCCTCTCTTCTTTCCCAGTATTTTCCCATTTCTCTTCTTTCTCTTTGTCTCAGCAGCTCATTTTTTCACACCTCTTCTCCCCCACATCCTTCCTTACCTATACTCACCTTGGCAATTTTTCTGTGTTCTTTCCCTTTCTTAATTTCCTCTCTTCTGTCTTTTCATAGTTCGTCACCTTTGTGTCCATTGTTCACTCTTATCTTTACCCAGCAACACCTAGGAACCAGTTTTTACAAAGAACAGAAATTAAGTTATATTTATATGATTTCCAGAAAAGAATGCAGGATAGGAAAATAATTTTAGCCGGGAGGTGGTGTCACATTCCTTTAATCCCAGTACTCGGGAAGCAGAGGCAGGTGGATCTCTTTGAGTTCGAGGCCAGCCTGGCCTACAGAGTGAGTTCCAGGACAAGCTCCAAAGCTATACAGAGAAACCTTGTCTCGAAAAACCAAAAAATAAAAATCTTTCCACAATAATCAGATCCCCAGAGGAGACAGAAATATTGTTCTTGTTTTGTTTTGTTTTGTTTTGTTTTTCCTTTCAGATGGTGCAGAGCTTTTCGTGGAAAAGTCCTGTCATCTGTGCAATTCATTAGTTATTCATTAATTAATTATCAAAGAACCACAGCATTGCTATTTGGAAAACTTTTATGAGAAGTTGTGTCACAGATGCAGGAACACAGTGACAGTTCCGTGATCCCTAACTTTTCATTTGTTAAATTTAAAGTCCTTTATGAATTTTAGAAATAAAACTGATACACTTGTCTGAACTGATCCAGCCACTTGTTATCCACAAACTGCAGAGGTTTTAAGAAATGATATAAACTACTAAATTTATGAATCCAAACAACGGCAGGTTCAGCTAACTACAGATGGCAATTTAATTTTAAAAAATGTGCTCTACTGAATTATACAACCTTTGTTTCTTCACACCAGTCTCTAAAAATAGGCATAAGCATTTATGTACTATATGCATTGTATTAGGTATTACAAGTAATGTACAGATGGATTAAAATATACAGAAAGATGTGTAAAAATTCTATGTAAATGAGACACTTTACATAAGCTATTGAGCATGCTTGGACTTTTGGTAGCTATGGAGATCTGTAACCAATGCTAATGGGCAGTTATAATCACAACTAAGTCAGAAATAAAAAAAGACTGTATTTTCCTGTAAGCTTTCAGTACTAAGTGCATTTCTTCAGTCATATCCATGCATTTATTCAATTATTATTGATCAGCTACTGTAAGCAGAGTTATATAAAAGATGGAGTATTGTATGAAAACATCAAGGAATGTAGAAAACATACCAAATAGATAACTACAATATTAGACAAGGATAATTCCTCTAGAAGAGATAGAAAATGATGTGGGAATTAAGATTGGGGTGAGAAACCAAGGTCAGTTTCATGAACTGAATCTTCAAGAATGATAGTATTTCCCTATGCAGAGCTATATAAAGGTAGAGGGAATTTTTCCAACAAAAACATGAAAGCAAAGAATTAGGTTGAGTGGGCATTACTGGAAAGGAGGATATTAGAAGGAATTAAGGGCAGCCTGGACATTGAAAATCTTACATATCAAGCTAAGGAGAATGGAGCAAAGTCCAATGGCAATAAGAAGTCTCAAAACAATTTGTGGCCTTTTTCATCCTGTTATTATAAGGTAGTCAAAACTAAATCATATATCAATAGGATGTAGGGTAAAAATAACAAGCTGAGCATCATGCATAAGCCAAAACATTTTAAAATGTTTCATTGTATATATTCATTGTGCTTGGTACTGTGTTACATGAAGACATTTCATCTAAGTGTATATTGTACACTGAGTATATATCTCCTATACCACCACCCTTCCCTCAGTCCCTTTTCCTCCATGATAGTTTTACTTCTATTTTCATCCCCCCTCCGTGTGTGTGTGTGTGTGTGTGTGTGTGTGTGTGTGTGTGTGTGTGTGTGTGTGATTTCATGTGTCTATATAAAACCTAGGACCTGCAAATGAGAGAAAACATGGTATTTGTCTTCCTGAGATTGACTTAATTTGCTTAATGTGAATCTTTCCAGTTGGATCCATTTTCATGGCACCAACAAAACTTTGTTCTTCTTTATGGCTGAAAAATTTCACTGTATAGAATAATTTTTCATTTTCTTTATACATTCCTTTGTTGTTGGAGTTTTTCAAATTTTAAAATAAATCACACCAACATTGCTTAGGCATTGGTTGCTGAACAAAATTCAAGGTATTGGGTATTGGCTACTGCTTGAAGGAAGTAAATAGGGAGATGAGATGAGGAAAACATAAGTGATTAGTCTCTTGTAGTTGATATTTATTCACAGGTGTTTGTCTATGGTTGTTCATTGTATTCCTTAGTAAACAAAAACCCTGAATTTACTAATGATAACAATGTGCCAAACGTCAAGGCATATAATTTATCAAAGCCTGTGTATTTTATCTACAAGGACAACCAGAAAGATACTATAGTACTGTTGAGGTCTCTCTCCGTTGGCTTAATACATAGCAAATGCTTATTTTTCCTTCTGCTTCTCATCTGGAAGGTGTATGGAAAAGTAACTTTAAGAGTCAAGGGTGGAAAGCATATTAAGCTCTTATTTCTAAGCTAATATCATTCCTTCTTCTGTCATCTGGTTTGTTGGTAGAAGAGGTTGTGACAGCTCTCATGTAGCCCAGGCTGGCCCTGATTGTCCCATGTATCTGAGAATGGCCTTGAACTCCTGGTCCTCCTGCTTCCACCACTTGAGCTAAAAAGCCTATACCTCCAAGACTGGCTCTAAGCTAGAGAAGTACTCTTAATGAAAGGAGCCACAGGGAGAGGGTCGGCTGGGGAAGGAAGGCTGTTCAGACTGATACCCTATCTAAGAAAAATGAGATATTTAATACCCAAAGGAGCACTTTGATCAAAAGAAGCTTCTGCGTGAGTTGCCAAGGAGTGCCAAGAGTCTTGAATTTGAAATGCTCTCTTCTATTTGTAGAGTGGGGCTTCTGTGTCTTGACTGCATATTACAATCTCCTGTGAAGTTTTTAAGCCATACAGATGTTCACCCTCCACACAAGCTGAAAGATTCAGAACTTCTGCAGGGTGTGTGTGTGTGTGTGTGTGTGTGCGTGTGTGTGTGTGTGTGTGTGTGTGTGTGTGTGTGTGTGTGTGTGTGTGTACATGCACTCCAGAAGCTTAATAAGTAATCCTGAAGTACACCCATGACTAAAATGCGTTCCCTAAAGACTATGCTTAGAAACTAAGTGGGTAACTTGCTACAAACCAATTTCAAGGTTCTGTCCCCAGGGATTCTTACTAGGGATCGAAGGAAATGGCCTAGGAATTTGCATTATTCTGGTTGAAGAGACTTCTCTCAGCTCCCACTAGGAAATATTATCAAGAAAAGCCCAGGGCTGTAGGGTGTTCCTTTCCTAAAGGTTCCATAACATAGGTGCATGAACATAAGTGGATTAAAGCTCCAGCAACTGAGACTGTGTGTATGGCACCAGCCTCAAATCCCAGTACTTGGAAGGCAGAGTTGGGAGAATTTCTGCAAGTTGGAGCCCAGTCTGGCCTTCACAGCAAGTTCCAGACTAGCCAGTGCTATGTAGTGAGGCCCTGTCTCGAAAATAAAATATTCTCTTAGTCTAGGAGGCTGCCTAGACTGCCACCAATGTAAATCCAGGCATCAGTGGGGAAATACATCCTTGGAAATTTGTAAGGGAGAATCCTTCCTAGCCTCGTTTAACCTCATCTAGCCTCATCTAGCCTCTAAGTGTTTGCTGGCATTCTTTGGCATTCTTGGCTTAGAGACCCATCAGTGAAGTCTCTGCTTCAGTCTTCTCCCTGTGTGTCTTATAAGGACATCAGTCACTGGATTATGGCCAATACAATGACCTCATTTTAATTTGATTACATCTGCAAAGGCCTTATTACCACATAAGGTCAGAATCACAGGTACTGGAGGTAAGAACAGCATGCACAAGTCCTGCACATGTTCAAATCAGACAAAATCCCAGCAATAAGAAGCGGAAGTGGACCCCTAACCAAGAACCTATTAGCAATTGATACCTGCTGGGAAAGGGAAAAAAACTTTTTCCAATGGAATGTCACTGAGTATGTCAACCACACTCGAGGGCAGATTCTGTATCCAGAAGTAGTTGGCTAGCACAAAATGAACTCCATGGTGTGTGTGTGTGTGTGTGTGTGTGTGTGTGTGTGTGTGTGTGTGTGTACATGTGTGTGTGTGTACACATCTTGTTTTGTTTTAATTTATTATTTTTGTCTTATGGGTTTTTTGTTTGTTTGGGTTTTCATTTTTGGGTTTTTTTTAAGAGAGGGAGAAAACATGAAGTTGGGTGGGTAAGGAAGTGAAGATCTGGGAGGAATTGGAGGAGGAGAAGGAATCAAAATATATTGTGTGACAAATTTGATTTAAAAAGACCTTCAAGCAATCAATAAAACAAATCAGTTATCTAGAGAAAAAACAATAGTTCATTCTCAAAATTCAGTGTGCAGGGAATCACTTGCATAAAATGTGTATTTCTGGACCTTGATCCCAGATAACCCCAAATAAAAAAGTTGTATTTTTAGGAATAGCAAGTATGTGTCCTAGACCATTACATCAACGAAAATACAAGCAGACTGTTTCTCTTTTGCTCATTTCTTATGAGCAAGGTGGCTCTGTGTGGGAAACAGGGGCACTAAGTGGAGATCAGTGGTTCTCAACCTGTCAGTCTGGATCCCTTTGGGGATTGAATGACCCATTCACAGGGTTCACATATCAGATATCTTGTATATCAGATATTATATTACGATTAAAAACAGTAGCAAAATTACAGTTATGAAGCAGCAACAAATTTAATTTTATGGTTGGGGGTCACCACAACACGAGGAACTCTATGAAAGGGTCGCAGTTGTAGGAAGGTTGAGAATCACTGGTCGAGAAACTAAGATGCATATGAATCACACAAAACATAGCAATGAAGACTAGGGAATATAAACTCAAACTGAAGTGCTCTCAGTCTAGGGATAGAGTTCAAGGCGACTGTGAGTAATGTGACTGTTGGAGCTATTTCTATTAACACTTATTAGGTCTGAAAAAAAGACAGTAAGAGGCTACATTGTCAGCAATCTTCTACTGTTGCCTACAGAACTGTGACAAATGATGGTTTGTTCCTGTGGGATTTTTTTGACACTTATATTCAATGTTAATCTTTGTAATGGCAAGTGGAATCATTCTATTTACACAGAGGAGTATTTTTACCAACAAAGGCAAGAATCTACCCTACCTCATTATGAAGGATGCATTTATTTCCTCAGAATAGGTATACCCTCCAAGTTCTTTTGATCTATAAATGTTTAATCAAATGTATATCTTCATACCACAAACCTAAATGAGAAAGAACAAGAACAATATTAGGGAAGCCTGAATTCCTGAACATTCTGTGATTCATTAGAGTGACAATTGGCACTGGGACCTGGAGACTGAAAACCGAGTCTTGAAATTCAGGTCTTTGTTTCAATGGCTGGCTTTCTGGTGGTTTGCAGTCCTGGCTGCAATTTAGAGTGACTTGGGGAGCTTTTAAAAGTTAGCACTGCCTGAGCCTCATCCCAGACCAATAAAGTCTGAATCTCTCAAGTAGTACTTTGAAGATTAGTATCCAAAAATCCAGACTGGGGACCAGGGTCTGTGTATTAACAAGAACTCTAGGTAAATCTCATCGTCAGTCAGCATGAAAAGCGCCATACTAATCTAGCCTAGTAATTAGCTTCAGTTTAGCAAATGATATGGCTGCTCTTTCACCTTTTGTGTTTTGTTCCTTTCTGTTTAACCCCTTTTTCGTTCATTCACCTTTTAAAGGCCATTTCCTGAACAGGAAAAAAGACATTTAAAATTATGTAAACACATGGGTTTTTAATTTTAAATCTAGTTTTCCTGCAGCAAACTAATTTGTAATACCTATGTTCATACTATTTCAAAATAATTTGCCATCTACTTTTTTTTTAGGTAATTGAACCATTCCCTCTCTCTCATTTATTTTCAGGAAAATTAATCTGTGAAGAATTTTAACAGTCAAAATCTCTGAGCCCTGGCCTATTGTCAACGTTTCTGAGACCTCCTCCACCTGAGAACCCGCACGTCTGACAACACTTCCCCTGCAGCCTACAGGGAGGGATGTCAACAATGCTGTAAACAATTCATGCCCATATTCTTATATCCTTCAAGCTTGGCATCTGGGCAGGAGTATTACAATCTCCAGCCTTAGGGAAGATTGACAAAGTCAGGCAAAAGGGCTGGAAACTCAGATATGCTGAGCCAGAGATATACAAAAGTCTTTAGCAACTCGCCTCACAGAAGAACCCAATTAAATCTACACCATTAGTCTGCAGATCTAGCTGAATTGTGGATAAAAAGGAGCCTTTTCTCCTTCTACTAAAACAAAACAAAAACCCCTCAGAAGTCTAATATAATACCGTAAGAGATTCTTGTCTCCATGCCAGTATTATAAAGCAGTTTCACCATATTTATTTATTTTCACCAGTGTAAGATTAAGAGTGTGAAAACTGACTATTTATTTACTTACTGTCTAAACTGACTAAGAAGTTCTGATAAACTTCTTTGGGAGGGGTCTGCTTGCTAGAGGCAGGGAAGTGCAACAATTGGCAATTTAGAAGACCACTCACTGCCTTCTTGCTTATGCACCACTGATTTTGGTCTGTATCATATTGTTAAAACACCACCAATACATTCGCAGACAGGCTAAGTTACTGTGGAATGCCTCAAGGGCAATAGAAATCAAATAGAAGCAAATATCAACTCAAGTCTTGAGTAATGACGGAGGTGCATTTTAAGTATCATGGAAATCTCACTGGGCGGGCTCATTTTCCCACTCTGGCAACAGAGGTTGACACCACTTCAGACAAGTATTCCAACCTGTACATGTATGTAGGATTATTTCTGAGCCTCCTGGCCATTCTTCTCATCCTGCTCTTCACAATGCTTCTTCGGCTCAAACATGTCATCTCACCCATCACCGAGAGCACAGAAAGTGTTCCTCAGTTCACAGATGTAGAGATGCAAAGCCGAATTCCCACTCCGTAAGTCAGAATGATGGTGAGTCTCAGCCAATATGAGCAAACCCCTGGGGTGCTGATGCTCAGGAAGGCTTTCTTTTTCATGTGAGGCTTCGCATGTAACAAGCTGCTCATGTTTTCTGTTCTTCATTCTTCATCTTGACTGTGCTTATGGGACATCTAAGAGGCTTAAGAGTCATTCTTTTTAAAGGAATATGGGAAATTGCAGCTGGTTGGGCTGGCAGGTTTCCATAGTAACCAAAGAGAGCCTGAGCCTTGAACAAACCTCAGACCACAGAAATTCATAGGCAGCAGTTGTTAAAACACAAGATCTCTGGAAGCTGCAAGAGCAAACAAGAATTTACCTTAAGATGTTCTGAGAACTCCCAAGAAATGGCAGGCTTTAATTTATTACTTTAGCCCTAAAGAATTACTTCATACATAACACAGATATTTCCTGACATGGAGCTTAATCATGCCACAGGTGAATGGAAGAGATTATTAATCTTTCCTCAAAAGAACAATGCTTTAATCATCATAGGTCATCAGGTTTCTCCCAAATGAAAGAGATTTAAAGAACCTTTTATTATTTAAAGAGAAATTTTGCAGAAAGTTTCTGGTGAGTGAGAAAAATGTGCATATTATATCTGTGTTATTACTATTACTGGACCTTTAAAAATGCAGATAATGGCAGATGTATTACTACAATCTGGGACAATGAGCTGCCTCCAAATCAAAGAAAAATTAAGTCAAACTTTTCTCATAAGGATTTCTACATTATACGTGCAAGCTTCCATGTCTTTGACTCCCTCCTTATCGCAAACCAGAATTGAGTTGCACATAAATATGAACTTGATTTGAAGGCTGACTTGGCAAAGAAGACACAAGTGTATTTAAAAGCAGAAATGAAACGATCTTGGGATTCTGTTACTGAGTGATTGTGACTTTGACCAAAACATGCCAGCTTTCTGGGTCTCGGATTTTTCTCGTTGAAAACTGTTCAGAGAGCTATTTCATTATGACTTTTCAGATATGAATATAAGACACACACAGACTAAAGGGGATAGGACTAAAAGTTACCCTGCAACAAGTTCTTAATAAGGTCAATGTCCTCAAATGTCACATTTGTCTTTCCCAGAAAATGCTCCTTCTTTCCTTATCCCTGCCAAAAACTGAAGTGTTTCACTTACTATCTATAAGAGAAATATATTTTGAAAATTTCCATTCTCATGAGTAGCTCTAGTGTGCCAGTAATGGATAATTTAATTAAAAAAAAAACTTGACTTTTCAAAGTGAAACCAAAGGAGACAAGTGGCATTTACAAATTAGAAGTTGCAAAATTGGTCGTATTCTTGCCGCCAAAGAAATGGTATACCTGTCTTAGAATTTTACCTGCTCACAAAAAAAAAGTTGCCCCTTGTAATTAAAGCATTGTCATTAAATTTCATGGAATCCCCCTTGGGAACTGAGGTGGTTGTGCAAAAATGGAATGGATGTGAAATTCATGGCACCTGTGCCAGGCATATATTTCTCTATAGTCTGCAACCAATTTAGATTGGCCCCTTTACTGTGATCTAAATCTAGCATGGTGGTGAAATTCCCAAGTGCTTTCTACTTTTATACATAGTCATTTGCCAATGCTCCCCTCTCCAAGGGGCTGCACAGCGTGAAATCCCCACATGCAGAGCTAAACTTAGCAGCAAGGCTGACTGCCACACCTGTTACAACTGTGCACTGTCAGAGATAGCAGCTGCATTCTGCACCATTCAGAAGACATTAGCAGGTAACCTAAGACTTGGATAGGACTTTGGGCTTTATATTTTCCAAAATGCAAAGTCACTCTTACAGGAATACATATTGGTGGTTTAAGTTGTGTCTATATTCAATACTTAGACTCCACGGACTTTTTTTAATGTTTTTACTCTTAACCACACATGGGCTTCCCCAAGGAGGGCAATATACCCAAGAACTTAAGGACGCAGGTATCCAGTCATTCCAGGTTCTCCTTTTTGTGCCCACAGTATTTGAATGCACTTTACCATAGAGAAGTCAGTGGCTGGATAAATATTGGATCTGGCTATACTTTCAACAGCAGTGAACAGCAAGTTCCTCAATACCTTGTTGCTGAAGCTAATGGAGACACAGCCTTCCCGTTACCTAACCACCCCAACACAAATTGCATAATATTAAAACTGCTTTGGAAGTACTACCTTGGGTGATGATTCCTAATTTATGATCAGGTTGCTCACCAGGAAAACAACCACGCTCTTTCATCACAACAACCCCTGTGGGATCCATGTCTTAACTGAGCATGAACCAAGGCACACAGCAGAGATTACATCAAAATAGCAACATAATCCACCACAGTTCTCAGTGATATAAGATAAATGGAAATGCATTTAAACAGATGTGTCATTATGGTAACTCACATGGTATTTAATGTTTAAGAAATAAACTGAATGTTTTCATGACAGTGAAGGAAAAAAATCTCCATTTCTGTTAAGTATGTTATATCCTTGAATGTATTAATTAGCATATTACTGCTTTAAAAGTCAGCTGTAATAACCAATGGGCATAATTTGAATTTATTTTTCTGTGCAAAATACAGACTTGACAATTCCCTGCCCCACCCCATTCTCCCTCAAATTGCATGTGAGCTGGGATATGAACAGGTAGGTCATTTACATGTATGTATACTTTATTTTAAGAAAAAAATTTTCATTTTTTATTGGATCATATGTATATAAAAATGCTTATATATCAACAATTTCCTGCAGTGTAACTTAATACAAAGACCACATGAATTTTCCAAAATGGTATCTATTAATATGGGCACTACTAAAGATATACAATTGTATATAGTTCAGAATCATTAGTCATATGAAACAAGTCGTATTGCAAAGGGTTATGCATCATATTTTGGACAACAAATGTCAATGTTAAACAAGTAAAGATGGATTTATCCAGTCTAACCTTTCTATCCATGCCAAACTAAAAATTTTGGACTTCAATACCTAATTTTGAATGTATAGATCCCACCATACTTACTAAGTAGGTATAAGTGGTCCATTTAATACATTTAAATGGTTTTATATTAAGTAATACATTCTATTCACCTGTATTTGTACAAAATAACTTTGTTTTTTACAAAAATGAATAATTATGTGGGAAAATTGGGAATTCTTTGGTTTTAACTCATTTATATTTGAATTAGATTCATATTGTATTCAAACGGAATCATATTTATATTAATATTCAGCATGTCACTTTGATCCCTGGATAATAAACGCTGACTCTTTTGTTTGCTGTTAACAAATGTCTGTTGTCTAAAGATGTAAATTGCATTGCATTAGCTTCTTCGTTGCAATATAAATTGTAATAACTGCTACAAATTTGTGGTACTTATCATTTGGAGGTCTCATTATTATTCTGTATTTACTAACCTCTCAGCTTTCATTCTTTCCCAACTTGCAAATTGATGGTCAAACTTGTTTATTTAGCCCTAAAATGAAAAAAAAATCGAATAACATTCAACTACCAATTAGAATAAATGTGAAGGATGAGTGAGATCAGGCATCTGAAATGGCAATATACTCTCTCTCTCTCTCTCTCTCTCTCTCTCTCTCTCTCTCTCTCTCTCTCTCTCTCTCACACACACACACACACACACACACACACACACATACCCCAATTGGATATTCCTTTAAAAAATGATTAATCTATGTTGTGTGCATAAGTAGTTTGTCAGCATGTATGCATGTACACCATGTGCATGCCTGGTACCCTCAGAGGTCACTGGAACTGAAGTTAGGAATGGTTGTGAGCTACCAGATGGGTGCCAGAAATCCAACCTGAGTCCTCTACAAGGACAAGTGTTCTTTAACTCCTGAGCCATCAATCCAAGCCAATAGGTTACATTTTAAATGGATCTTCCATTTTGTACTTTCATTTGACCCTCACAGCAACCCTATGAATAATGAGTACAGAAGGGATGCAGTCTATTTGAAAAGACAGCACAGGAGACGAGGGAGATTTGGAAGCTATTCATAGTTCTACAGAGACAAAAATCACAACTGCACTGAAACTCATTTGTACTTCTACTTTAGTATTCTCCCCATGCTTTGCTTTGTGAGTACTGAATACACATTTCAAATACATCCATTCTATAACACAACTATGCCCTAGCAATGATTAATTCTCCATCCCAAGTAACCCAAAGCAAATAACTACAAATCTGCCACTTGTTTTAAATAGTCTTATGTATCCCAGAGTGACCTCAAACTCACTATGTAGCAAGAGAGGACCTGAAACTTCTTTATTATTCTTTTAACTTTCATTGATTCTTTGTAGATTTCACATCATGCATCCTGATCCCACTTATCTCTCTGTCCCTTTACATCTGCCCTCTGCCCTTGCAACTCCCAAAACAAAACAAAATTTAAAAGAAAAATCAAACCAAACAAACAAAACAACACACAAAAAAAGGAGAAGAATCTCGGTGTGGAAGCTGTAGTGTTGCCCTGTGAGTCACACAGTTTTCTCTTTAGTCCATTCATCTTTACTTGTGTTCATTTCTATGAGTCTTTGGTCTGGTTCAAGCCCTCTGGCTTCTGCTACACTATTGATAATGGGCTCTCACTGGGGCTCCTCTTGGATATCCTGTTGTTGTCCTGTGTCCTGGAGATCCTGCGGTTTTGGATCTGTAGGTTTGTCCCCTTCACATGCTCCAACACGCTTCACGTGCTCATGGTTGAGGTAGATGTTGGGTGGGTTAACTCATACCCCTGGCTCTGGGCCTGATGGTAGCTGGGTTGATCATCTCACCAGCTTTCCCTCATTGTCACTATCCAGGCAGGCTCTGCAGCACTGCCTCAGCTAGCTCACTCAATACAGCCTGCAGCAAGGAGCTGGGCCAGTTCTGCTCTCAGGCCCTAGGATCCAGCTCACCCACACTCACACCACCAGGGCCAGCTCTACTGCTTTGCCCAGGCAAGGTGCGGGGGCCTCTCTCCTGATTGTTATAGGGGGAATACGAGGGAGATACAGGGTCAGTTTTCCTGCTCTCAGGCCTCAGGGCTGGCTTACCTGTGCTCCCTCCAACAGGGTTAGCTCTAGTGTGCTGCCCAGGTGAAGTGCACTCCTGTGGTGAAGCATGGCATCATCTTTCCTGAGTGTGGAGATCAGCTCTCCCTTGAGGGGTGGGACCAGCTCTCCTACTGCAGTATCCAGCTATCCTAGGGCCAGTCAGTGAAGGGCTGGGGCAGCTCAGCACAGCCCTCGGACTTCAACAGGCATGGCTCTTATGAGCCCTTGTGGTAACTCAGCTCATGGACATTAACATAGACCCCAGCTGCAGCAGGACCATAAGACATGGCCCTCGGTAGCAGCTCTAGTCCAGACATCACCATGAACCTGGTGGTAGGTAGCACAGGCCATCGAGATCAGTATGGCTCTGGTAGCAGCACGCTCTCAGATGGCTGATCAGACACTGGGCATCTGCAGAGCCCTCCGTGGTAACAGCAGCCATGGACACCACCCCAGACCCTGGCTGCTGCAGGGTCACAGACACAGAATGTAGGCAGCAGGACCTGGAACTTCTTATCCTCTTGCTTCCACCTGCCCAGTGCAAAAAAGTATACCACTGTACCTGTTTTGTGCATTGCTGGGTATAAAACACGGGACTTCAAGCATGCTAGGCAAGCACTCTAACAACTGAGCTACATCTGTGGCCCCTGCCATCTCTTAAAATAATTTTGTAACTGCAGTAAGACTCTTTACCAGATTGTGGGAAAGTTTGCACAAAAGCAGACCCTACACTTTTAATTTGCATGTGTGAAAGGAATGGGCAGAAATATGCTAGGATTGTAAACTATAGTGCAAACCCCAGTTTTCTGGTGTTTGATTGACTATTCACAATCAATGCCAGTTCTTTATATATGTGACTGTTTTCTCTTCCCTCCCCCATTCCAGAAATGAGAACACTTCCTCTTAGGTGTAAATGATGTTATTTAAAATTGTAGAGGGTTTCAAGTGTACCATCACTTGTGATCCATGATAAATGCTATAACACTGAAACAGAAATAATTACTAACTAGACAAGTTTCCCCTAGTCACCCATAAAGAATGAGCTAGATAGATGCTTTCATAACTCTGAAAAAATTCTTTCTCCAAAGAAATGGTTATTATAGATATTAGAATTGATTATTCTGAAAAATTATTTCTCCAAAGACATAGTCACTATAGACATTAGATTTGACTGCAAATTATCATTTTACCTTCCAAAATCCTACCTGCACATAGTTGTCAGTGAAAAGTTTACAAACTTGAAGGAAAAAACTTCTCAATTCCCACTTTGAGTATGATCATGGAAGATGAAGACTGGATATGTAGAATAGAAATAAATGTAGGTTGAAGACATTTTGAAGAATAACTTGAGTGATTTTTGAGCTCCTAATTCATTTTCATATGAAGCATTTATTCATTAAATCACATATAATATGGAGGAGAAAGCAGATTACACAATGCAGAGATGTCAAGTATGCAATGAAAATGTTTCTGGACTGGGGCTGTGACCCAGTTGCCTGCCTAGCTCAAAGGAAGCCCTGGTTTCAATCATGAGTACCGCATAAGCTGGACATGGTGTCTCACACATAGAATCGCAACACTCCAGACATAGAGATCAAGGTCATCCTAAGCTGTAAAGCAGGTTTGAGTCAATCCTAGGATACGAGATATGCTGTCTCAAAAAAAAATTAAGTGTTTACAACCTGTAAAAAATAAAAATAAGAAATTTAAAACATCTGTAATCTGAATAAACCACTCATTCATCTCCTCATTTATTCATCATACAGTCTAACCTGGAAAAGAGACTGGTGTTTGTAGGGCTTTGTGGGCAATGCTCTCCATTTTCTTAATTTTATTGTAAGTTTAGGGAATCATACTGTGGAAGCACAATTGACAATGGAATGAAGAAGAGCAAATCGGACCAATGGAGACATTCTCAAATGACTTAGGATAAAGATAAGATCAACATTACTTGCTAGTGAAGGATATAAGTAGGATAAGAAAGAGTAAGGTTTGAACAAGGGTCGAATGGCCTTATTCGCTTAGATGGAAAAACACAGGTCAAAGGGGAGAGTAATTCAATTTGGGACATGCTTAGTCTGAAAACATTTGAAGCATTAAAATGCAGACATTAAACAGGCAGTTGAATAATGGGTCCAAAACTCAGAAAAAGGAGTTTAACTGTACAGATAAATTTAGCAAGTGTTATTGGATGTGATCACCCAGGAAACATTTGTCGTACACACCAAAGAAAGAATGACGGTAGTGTAACATCGAATATGCCCACATATGCTCCTCCTTTGGTTTTGGAATGTTAGTCACATGTTTAGCAATGTAAGGGGAAATACAAGCTTTAAGCATTCTCAACCTGAGGTAGTTTGAACCATAAGAAGTAGAAGAGTGCCTCACAGCCAAGATGTCAAGCTGGGAGAACAAATGCAGACTCTACATGTGAAGGTTAGGAACAGAAGATCAAGGAAATGGCTTGGTGGATAAAGTATTTGCCACACAAGCATGAGGACCCGAGCTTGCACCCCAGCACACTTGTAAAAAGCTGGGTATGATGGCATGTACCTCGAATTTCAGCACTAGAGATCCAGAGACAGGAGGATCCCTGTGACTTTCTAGCCAGTCAGTCTAGCCAATTGATGAGCGTCAGGTTCAGTAAGAGACTGTCTCAAAGTGAAAGAGCGATTAAAGGAAATACGCATTACAGTCAGAGTAGAAGCTTCTGTGCATGTCCCTGTGAGCCTAGTCCTCTGCTCTAGAGGTAAAACTGAGAACTAAAACATCTACCTTCTTTCTCAGGTTAGCTACTGACACTGAGATTCCTTACCCTTAGACTCCAATATACCTTCCATAAACATTAAAAGAAGACTCTTGTCCAGAAAGATGGTTTGATTTTTCATTATAGGAATTTCCCCCAAAGACTCATCACTTTTCCTTGAAGGTATCATTTTTCTCCTTCGGTTATATACCCAAAATGCCATGTATTTGCTCTCATATGTGGAATCTAGATTTATATTTGTGTATGTGTATAAATGTGTATATAAATATATATGTAATTCATATATTATTCATTTATATATGTGTGTAATTTAATGTATGTGTGTTTATAGGTTTTGAAACTGAAAAGGGAGTCATAGAGTGAAGAAGTAGAGCTTAAGGGAGGTGGGGCATAGGGAGTGTAATAGAATACATAAAATAAGAAAATAGAATCAACTTGTAGCTTTCTTGCTGTTGATATAATAA